CTTGGACAGTTGGGGAGGGTGGGATGGTGAGAGAGAGACCCTGATGGGAAGGGAGGGGTATCCTACCCCCTCAGCTCTCTGGACTTAGCCCTCCCCTTGCGCCCCACCCCTCTAAGCCCATGTTGCCTCTGCCCGCAGGTGCCCTGGCTCCACGCAGTGTATTCCGTGCTGGGGGCAGTGGTGTTTACATTGGTGAGTGGCCTGGTTCCCTGAGGGCGCGGCCTTCTCAATCCTTCAATTGTCTTCCTTCTGGGGAGAAAGGTTTCTGGCCTCCGGAGGGCTGTAAGTAGTTTCTCTCCTAGGGGTTATCTGGGAAGACTTCTTGGAACAGGCGGGTTTGTAAGTCCCCTGTGAGTGATCGGGTATTAGAGCTTCTTCTTCGTTACTCTCCATCCTGGGAGTCCTGTGGGAGAAGTGGATTAACCCCAAGATTAACTGTTTGAAACCACCAGCCGCAGCTCTGCGGGAGAAAGATGAGGCTCTCTACTCCCATAGAGAGTTAGTCTTGGAAACTCCTGGGGGCAGTTCTACCCGGTCTGACAGGGTCACTGTGAGCCAGCATTGACGACTGTGGGGAGTTTGAGCTTGGTGATCCTAGGAGCTGAAATGTGATGACGATGATGATAATGGCAGGAACCGGAGTAGCCAATATTGACTGAGCACTTGCTTCTCCCTGTGCAGACTCTCCCAGTGCATTTCATCTTCACCGTAGATCTGTGTTGTTGGGTTACACATTGGGCTGCTGACTGCCAGGGCAACAATTCGAAACTTCCTCGGGGGAAACACAGACTCGTAAAAAGTTACAGTCTCAGAAACCCAGACAAGGTCTGCCCTGTCCTATGATATGCGCAGGGTGTTATGAAGCGGGATCGAGACCTCGCCGGCCGTGATTTTGGTTGGCTTCGTTTGGGTTCTTGGTGAATCTGTAAGCTGGGTTTTCTTGTGGTCTCTGGGCCCCTGCGTGGGACAAAGAGTTAAGCACTCTGTTAGACCCATCCAGCAGCTCCTCAGGAGTCGGCTTTAGAAAGGCCTCGGCCATGACAACCGCGTGGAGCCCAGGCCTACTCAACATGCCTGAGGTCGCCACCGGCCGGAATCAGCTAGGTGGCCATTGGTATGGTATCATCATCCCATTATATCGGGGAGGCCACTGCTCCAGAACATGGGGCACCTGCCCCAGGCCATGACAGTATCCCAGGGAGTAGTGGAGCTATATTAGGCACCTGCACAGTCTGTCTCCGGAGCCCCAGTTGGGGTCTGAGGCTAGGTGGGGAGGGGGGAGGAAGGACCAGAACCAGAAATGTGCCTTGATCTGCCCAACCCAGGCATTGGGGTGCCAAGCATGTGACTGCAGGGTGCTCAGAGTCCAGACAGGTTGGCCCAGCGTGGTGCCCTCTTCCCAGGGAGGGCCCTGGGGCAAGCACGCATCTCGCTAGTGGGCACAGTCACTAGGCCCTCTTCTTCACTGCAGCAGCCTGCTGTGCTCCGTCAGGCTTCGTCACAGTCCTAGAGGCTCCTGGGTGACAGGCTGGGGTGCAGAGATGGGGGAAGTCAGACCTGTGGGCCAAGGTTTGAGGTTTGCCATAGAGATCAAGTCGGAAACAGGTTCATTCCCTCATCTTCTGCACAGGGCTACGGACCAAGCCCCGTATGGGAAGTACTGAACTATAGGCCGGAGGCCAGTGTGTGGCGTGCAGTGGCGGCTTAGTAAAGATCCATGGGATGAATAAATGACTCCCCACTTGGAATTTGAGGCCTGGGAGGGACGGAAGCGGAGTCACCTAGTAAAACTCTGGGAGCCAGCAAGGTGGGTTACTGGGGTTGAAGCCACCGGCCTCCTCGGGAGAAAGACGGGCTCTCTCCTCCTGTGAAAAGCTGCCATCTCAGAGGCCCGCAGGGGCAGCCCCGCCCGCCTGCCCGCTCCTCTAGGGTCCCCATCTCTTGGGATTGATGCAGTGGCTGTGAGTTTGAATGAAACTCCAAACCCTTCCTTACGGATGGACAGAACTGAGGCCTAGAGAAGTGGGGACATTTGTCAAGGATTTCATGGGCCCTGTCTAGGACAACTGTCTGATCTCAGTTGACACAGGAGAGCCATGGGTTTCGTGCCCCAAGTCCTGCTTTCTAAGGGAACCTTGGCAAACAGGGGTCAATGGTGGAGGTGCTAACTTCTCAGGTCCCAAACCAGAGCTCAGCACCTTCCAAAGAAAAGCTTCCATCTCAGGGCCAGTGGGGAATGAGGCCAGGAGGAGAGCAGAAAGGCTCACCGTGGGGAAGGCCTCAGCGGGCAGCGTGTGCCTGGGCACAGAAGCACAGTCAAAGGAGGGACCACGAGGCTGGAGACAAGTGGCAGGAGGTGGGCGTTGGTGGTGAGCTGCGAGCTTGATTGGCCTCATGCAGATCAGGTCTCAGCACGTGTGAGCCCCAGAGGGAGGCTGAGCGTCTAAGTGGGCTGGATCAGCAGTAATCCCTTAAATTTGTTTAATAAGCTCTTGTATTATTAGGATCATAAGAATAATCTCAGCCATCTGTTCCACCCTTCATGTCTTACAAAGCACTTTCACACCTAGTGCTTCGTCGGATCTCTACCACAAGCCAAGGAGGGAGGCAGAGGATCATGGGTGACCTGCTTTGGGCACCGGAAGCACAGGGGTTGGCTCAGAGCCCCACTATCAGTAAGAGGCTGATTTAGAACCAGGGCCAGGTGTCTTGTGTCCAACCCGATGCTATTGTCAGTACCCCTGTGATCTTCCCTCAAAGGACAGCTTCTCTTGGCTTGGCGTTGGAGCAAGACTGGGGACATCCCCCCAGCCACCCTCCTCTCCTGCGTGTTTTTCTCTATGGCAGCCGTTCTCAACCTGTGGGTCACAACCCCACTGGGGGTCAAATGACTCTTCCACAGGGGTCGCCCGATTCCTAACAGCAGCAAAATTACAGTTATGAATTACAACGAAACTTTTATGGTGGGGGGGTCACCACAACATGAGAAACTGTATTAAAGGGTTGAGTCATGAGGAAGGTTGAGAGCCACGGCTCTATGGGATGATTTCTATCAGCACAGAAAAATCCTACAATTTCTCCTGTCTAAAAGAGATCATGAAACACTCTTTTTTAAAAAAATCATTTTATTGGGGGCTCTTACAGCTCTTATCACAATCCATCCATCCACTGTGTCAAGCACATTTGTACATTTGTTGCCATCATCATTCTGAAAACATTTGCTTTCTGCTTGAGCCCTTGGTATTAGCTCCTCATTTCCCCCCCTCACCCTCCCTCCCTCATGAACCCTTAATCATTTATAAATTTTTTTTCATGTCTTACACACCGAACACTATCTCCCTTTACCCACTTTTCTGTTGTCGGTCCCCCTGGGAGGGGGTTATATGTCTATCATGTGATCAGTTCCCTCTTTTTCCCCCCACCACGAAACAGTCGTGATTGACACAACCCCCTCTACCTTCCGCCCCATTCATAGAAAAACTCCTTAGAGACTCATTATCTTCCATTTCTCTCCCTCCCTCCCTCCCTCCCTCCTTTCTCTCCTCCAAATTCCCCTCCTTCCATCTTCTCTTGAGCCCTCTTAAAAACACTCATCAGGCCCCCATCGGTCCGCCATGTTGCCAAAACCCGCAGGCAATTCTCAGTTCTCCTCCTGCGTGACCCTCAGCCACCCTGCCCGCAGAGGAGCCGTCTACGCCCGACTTCCAGTTCACCCTGCTCCCTGGGAGCTCTGGTGGCATAGTGGTCACCCATTCGGCTGCTAACTGCAAGGTCAGCGATCCCAAACCATCAGCTGCTCCCTGGCAGAAAGACGGGGCTTGCTACTGTAGTCGCCGAAACTCACAGGGGCGGTTCTGCCCTGCCCTGTAGGGTCACTGTGAGTCACTACGGTCTCGATGGCATGAGCTGCTCCCCTGTTTTTCTCCTGCCTCCCTGATCGTGAGACCGCATTGCCCAGACCTCCCAAACACGAGGGCCTCCAGCCTCTTCTCTTCTTTTGATCACGGCCTAGGGCGCTCCGGCCAGTCTCCTGGCTTCATGCACACCCTCGCGCATACGGATGGCTCTACCCAGTTGCCTACTCAGTATCCCCTCTTGGAAGGCTAATAGGCATCAAGGGGCATGAAGGACTTAACACAGGCAAGACTGAATCCCTGCCTTTTCCCAGGTACCTGCTCCTCCCGCGGCCTTCCCCATCCTTGTAAAATGGCAAGGCCATCCTTCCTGTCATTCCGGCCAGATGCCATTATAACCACCTGGACCTCTTTTTGCCACGCCCCCACCGGGCTCCACCTTCTAGCTAGAGTCTGACCACGCCTCTCTTCCTTCAGGGCTACTCTCTGGTCTGAGTCTCCATCTGCTCCTGCCCTCATGGTTGCCATGGTTCCATCAGTGATGTCCTTTGCTCCCACACAGAGTGCTCACTTACAGGGAGTCTGCTGAGTGAATGTAGATTAGGTCAGCTCAGGCCTGCTTGGTCTCTAGCTACTGCTGCCCGCAGGTTACAAGTCAAAACAGCCCTCTGCCCAATAGAGCAGAGTAACATTGCCCCTTAGGGTTTCCAGAAGCAGACAGCCTCGTATTTGTCCTGCAGAGCGGTCGGTGGGTTTGAACTGCTAACCTTGTGGTTAGTGACACCATGCTTAAACCACTTCTCCATCAAGGCTCCTCACAGCCTACAGGGCTCCTTGTTCATCTGGCTCTCAGTGACCTCACCGCCTCCCATTTTCCCCTCCTCCTTTCTGCTGCTGCTCACCGTGTCAAGCACATTTCCAACCACAGGACCTTTTCCCAGGTGGCTTCCTCCGCCTGTTCCTCCAGGTAGGCTTCCGGCTCCCTCCCTACTGTCACCAGTGTTTGCACACCAGCTCTAGCCCTCCACAGAGCACCTGTCAGCCCCTGGCAGGTCAGCTCTCTTCTCGTTGCTGGCTGGTGGCCTCGCCCCCACCCCCAGCAGAATTTAAGTTCCTGGAGGGACAGGGGCTTGGGGCTTTTTCTTTGCTGCGTCCCTACCTCCCCTCAGCCCCCCACCAGTGCCTGGTACACAGTAAGTGCCCACAGATGTTTACCGAGTGAATGGGTGCCTGGGAGGAGAGGTGAGGGGCAGGAGCAGGGCCAGGCTCGTGAGGCGCTGTCTCAGCAAAGGCAGAAAGCCCAGCTGCTGACTCCCACGGTGCTGCTGGCCTGTCAGT